TGGACTATTTGCAACCGAGGACAGTTTCCTTTGTGCCGAGATCCTTGTTCTGGCCCCACAACGGAAAATACTGGAAGTGTGAATCTTATTTCTCTTTAACCTGATGGATTGCATTGACCAATTAAACAATGGCTTTTTTGTTAAAGGTTGGAACCCAGGAGTTATTTGATAAGTAAGTTGAGTATGATCATCCGCTTGAACGTAGTCCTGAATAGGACTGTTGTTATTTACAGTGACTGACGTTTCGACAACCAGTGCGGTAATCATCTTCAGAGTCAAAGTGAGTTGTATCAAGTCACCTCTAGTCATTGACCTGATCGGGTTAATTAAGTTGCGATGTTTTAAGCTGTGATGTTATTGGCTATGAAGACTCGTAATGTCATTGGTGCGTTTCGATCAGTCTATTGTCACAGTTAAACAGTCGTTTATTTGTTGGTCAAATTGTTGGTTGTCCGGTCATTCTTTCGTAGTTACTTTTGCTTGAGTCCGTCAATAAGTCATCTTCTGAGACCCAAGGGCAGCTAGTCGGGACGAAAGAACATTCGCAGTGAAGGTTTACTATAATATCAAGAAGAGCCCTGGGCACTTACTCTTACCGGACCAGTTCCAGAAGCGTTTGAATTACCTGCTTCTGATTTTTTCTTGCCAATCAGCAATAAAATAATAATTAACAATTAATTGAGTGAGACATCAAAATAACAGCTCAAAACTTTAAAAGAACAGTTTTTCAAATGATCTGTTGTCTGTAACATAATAATTCTTGACCGGGAGACATATTTAGTTCAACTTGAAGCTATTTTGTAATTTACCAGTAATTTTGCCATAGAAGCTAAGTTCCATTCTGAGTAAGGACGTTTAATATTAATTTTGCAATATTAGCAAAATGAACTAGAAAACTGTGACACAGCCCCTTTAACCCACATGGAAAAGTCTACATATCAAACAATTCTGATGTTCCTAAGTCATATATATGCCCATACTGCCTTATTCTACAATGATTTTTGACACAAAATGAGACAATACCGTAACTCATTAACAAAAGAACTAAAACAGAAATTACACTGACTACAATCCACACTTTATAATCGTGTTTGTGTTCTTTTAGCAGATGCTGCACTGCTTGTAATGAGCCATTGTTTGGCGCTGGTTTAATGCCCGGTAAATGACACATAAGAGAGTATACATTCACATTTTCAAATGGTTCTGAAACAAAGCCTTCTTTGAATGCAGGTCCTTGGGCAAGAAAAAAGGGGTGCATATCAGGGAATTGGTTACTGTAGCCATGGTTACTGTGACTGTCCATTTTCGACTTGTTTTTTGTAATGGTCCATCCTTCTTCCGCGACAATGAAAATCGGCATGACACGTCGGTTATGCTTGTAATGAAACTCTTCAGGTATTTCTTCTTTGAGGTTAAATGTATATAGATGTGGAACAGTCTTGAGCTTTTGGTAGGTGTCATTCAACTTTCCTTTCTTGGGTAGAATATGAAAAAACACATTTGAAGCATGGTCTGCCCTGTTTGGATCAGTGATGAGTGTATACCAGTCTGATGGAATGTAATGATCCAGCTGGATAAGACGAGAGTTGTTGACATCTGCCATGCCATGGTCGCTTGTGATAATCAGGTTTACCTAAAATGGGTCATAAAAATGCAATGGAAATATATTTAGATCCATGAGTTGTTACCTGATAATAATCTTGTGGGACATGTAAAGAGTTACTACATCATGCCATATATATAACATATCACAAGCATTTACTAAAAGACATTCTCTTCATAATTGAATAAATCCAGTACCACAAATGAAGAGCAAAACAGTATGTTTTTTTCGTCCTTCACCTATTTTGACCAACTTTTCTGGCCTTCATCAGATCTAGAGTGAATGGCTGTTACAAGCATCACACACCATTGACAACAACACTCAAATTTGAAAATTTGCATGCGCTACAAAGAAAGCTAGATGCCCGCATGCTTTTACCGGCTGTGAGACCTATAGTAGCCCTGTTCTGGCTAAAAAGAAGTCAGTTTAATTTGAGCCCTGAGGCTGAATGCAGTTCAACATAATAATAGGCCCAATTAATCCTGGAGTGCTGACTTCCCCCCAGAGTCAATAACTACCACT